ATTGATATATAGGAAGTATGGTTTTGGCCACCGGAAGTGTTCCGGGCATCACCGGTAGTGTACCGGGACCACCGAAGGGGTCCGGGGGTCCACCGGGAGGGGCCACAGGCCCCGGAGGCATACATGGGCTAAGTGTGAGAAGGGACCAGCCCCTAGGTGGGCTGGGGCGCCTCCCCACCAAGGCCCATGCGCCTAGAGAGATGAGGGGGCAAACCCTAAGGGCAGATGGGCCCTAAGGCCCATGCCTGGTGCGCCTCCCTCTCCCCCCCACTTGGACGCTACCCCAGATGGGGATTGGGGCTGCCGCCACCCCTAGGGTGGAAACCCTAGGTGGGGGCGCAGCCCTCCCTCTCCCCCTATATATAGTGGAGGCAAAGGGGCAGCCCAACACACGAAGTTCTTCCCCTGTTGGCGCGGCCCTACCCCTCTCCCTTCCTTGTCTCTCGTAGTGCTTGGCGAAGCCCTGCTGGAGTTCCGCGCTCCTCCACCACCACCACGCCGTCGTGCTGCTGCTGGACGGAGTCTTCCCCAACCTCTCCTTCTCCCCTTGCTGGATCAAGGCGTAGGAGACGTCACCGGGCTGCACGTGTGGACGCGGAGGCGTCGTTGTTCGGCGCTTAGATCAGAATCAACCGCGATCTGAATCGCTACGAGTATGACTCCTTCATCCGCATTCTTGTAATGCTTCCGCTTAGCGATCTACAAGGGTATGTAGATGCACTCCCCTTCCCCTCGTTGCTAGATTACTCCATAGATTGATCTTGGTGATGCGTAGAAAATTTTAAATTTCTGCTTCGATCCCCAACACGCTGAGCCATCTCGATGATGTCGGTGCAGATATCCGGCTCGGGGCCCGGTTCGCCGATCTTGTCAATGAATACGTGGATTCCGTTGAAGGGGACCCGGTACCCATACTCAATTGAGCCGGCCTCGGGTCCCTAGCCTGCATCGTCGATGTAGAACTTGCCGCGACGACTCTTGGTCATCCGGCCAACAGCGTATCCCTTGATCCCTTCGAAGCTGCCCTTCAAGAACTCAAAACCACTGTGTGCAGGCCCCACGGTGGGCGCCAACTGTCGTGGAATTGTCACGGCAGATGTCCTAGTGAAAGGACTTAGTTGTGAAACCATGGCGACGAGGTTAGCTTAAAGGGGTTAAACGGGACAAAGGACACGAGGAGTTTATACTGGTTCGGCCCCTTGCGGTGAAGGTAAAGGCCTAATCCAGTTTGAGGTGGTATTGGTAGGGTTTCGATTACCAGGGAGCGAATATGCTTTGCCTAGCTTTCGATATGTTGTTTCTTGCCCTAACCCGCTGCCGGGTCGTCCCCTTATATACATGGGTTGACGCCCGGTGGCCTACAGAGTCCTGGCCGGCTCATTCAAACGTGTCCGGCTCGGTAACTTATCTTACATGCCTTACAACTCAAGTCATATATACATGGTGGTTTATACTCACGGGTCTTAAGCCGCCTTTCGGTTTGGGCCCTTTAACATGCCTACTTCATGAACCACCATCTTCAACATATTCATGGGCTTTGTCTAGATGAACCTCCATTGGAATAACCCGGACCCTCCTGGGCGGGTCATATCCAATAGTCATATCCCCAACAGGTTTTGAAATGCTTGATCAATTGTCTTGGTTACACTGCTTCAAGCGTTATGTTTGTTGACACTTAGTCCTGTTTATATTTACCCAAATGATAAGTGCCACGCGTCGGGTGTGTGGCACTCTGGCCCTGACATTTTTCGATGGCAATTCCAGTCGCGTAAGGATGGCAATTTTCAGTGACACACGGCAAGTTTCTGTGAAAAATATACTGAAGCACGAAACTTGTCATGCTTGACAACTAAAGTTGTCATCCTCGCATAACTAAGCTTGCCGTTGAAAACATTCAGAATTGCCATGTGCTCATACCTGACATTTGGTACTTAGCAGGGTCATATATTTAACATTCAACCATGCAGATTGCAGAGCACAACAGGAGGACAAATAGGGTTTCAGCAAAGAGGAATCCCTTTGCCTAGCCAGAAGTTTGCATGGAGGTTGGTTCTATCTGCTGTGCACTATACTGGAACGTCACTGGCAAACACACCCATCCTCCTCACTTGGCCTAAACCTAACCTAACAAACGGGAAACTTTGATTGGTCGTGCAATAGCTTAGCGCTTATTAGAAGCAGCCGTGCAATAATGCATGTTTAGCCCGTTGCTTTGCCGGATTATGGTATGCAAATTGCCGTAAAGAGATGACAACACACCAAAGACAAATCATGCTCTGCCAGTCGTCATAAGATATTGTATTATTGTGTCCTCTAGAATTTTGGCTGGTGGAACTTTTGTAACAGCAGTGCCTCACAGAAAAGCTTTGTCTTGCCATAGGTTTGGAACAATAATGTCTCGTTTTGAAATGCACGAGCTTTGTAGGAAAAAAATAGTGGAATTCTCTGCTCTCAATTCAAGTGAATTAATAGGTTCTGATCACACACATTTTTATTGCTTCTGATCACAACCTTAGCGGCTAAGGTTTTATGTCTCTCTTCAAGAACTACACCCGCAAACACTTGTGGGCTGGGTCGTACCCAAACTAGTCGATGGAGAAATGCTTAAAGCAAAATGAATTTCTCAGTGTGCATATATCTATTGTGTTTTATCTGGAATTAACCCAGGAAACGATGGTTCAGCAAGCAGGCAAAAATACCCTAATTTTCTTGAATACATGTGGTTGTTTTAGGGCATATTTGATTCAGAGAATTTTAATAATAATTTTGAAGGATCAAAATCCTTAGGAATTTTTGCTATGTTGATTTCTTAATTCGTCGAATTGAATAGAATTTTTTTCTGAAAATTCCTTGGTACTGCATTTCATAGAAATTTTAGCCTTCACTCAAACCTCTTGGAAAGGATCACATATTTTCTCATGCAGTCAAACAAACCAAAAATTTGTAGGATTCAAATGGTCATGACATCACAATCCTAGGTTTGTCCTATGCTACATTTTTTCAAATCATGCAAATCCAGAGGCCCGCGGAGGATTTGGTTTGTCCAACTTCAAGGGATCGGAACAGAAATATCAGAGCTTTGACACCTTCTTCCTCAAGGTCCAAATGTATTTAGGCTCTCAAAACAATGCATTTGCTAATTCCTGTGACTCAACGATGATGGGCATACTGAGGATCTACCAAGGTTGCATGCAGAAAAAATGGGGAATTACATCAATCTTATTAACACATTCAACAAAACAATCGCTATGATATAGCCAACAAGGGCGGCTATTTTCGGTGGTTCCCCCCTCAAACCTAGGAACCGCCGCCCCAGCCTTCCCCTCCCCGCGCCATCATCGGAGGAAGCTTCCAAGCGAAGCTCGTGCGGCTGAAGGCGGCGGCGGAGACCTTTCTTGTGACACCTAGGGACCTGTGGGCGACAGATCTTGGTGCCGACTAGTGGTGTTCTCATGCAAGAAGAGGCTGGGCTCGGCGAGCGAAGGTCTCGCGCATGTGGCAGGGATTGTGGCTCGGACGTCGCAGAGGCAGTGGTGTGGTTTCACCTCGGCCGCAAAACGGATTGTTCGGATGTGGCAGGATGGACGGCGAAGGCCGTGCTCAGATTTTTTGGGTGTTGTTACTTTGTTAAAGGAGTCGTCGACGTCGTTCACGCCTACCTGCCTATTGCTCTGGGGAAAACCTAGGTCTGAGTGATATCGGATCGGGCAATATCGTCAATCGTCAATGGTGTCATTTCTCTCTCTTGGGAGCATTGTTTTGGAGTTGCATTTGTTAGGGGATAAGTGGATGATTCCAGGTTCGCACTGCGGCTGACGCTTCCATGTCTCGCCGCTGCCATGTATTGGCTGGCCGACGCATCGAGGCAGAGCATGGCGGGGGTGCCCGCGATACTCCGTTGAGGCGTCGCGTTACGAAGATGGTGTGCGGCAATTTGTCGGTGATAACCGCAGCCTACGGGGACATTGACATCATGTGGTATTGTGCCTGGGGTGCCCAGATTTACCACTGACAGACACTTGCGACGAAAGTGTGGGATTGTCATATCGTCCCCACGGTGGGATTTTGATGGTGTTGTCTTCCTCTCGCCATGCGGTCAATGGCCTCGCTCAGCTTTGGGTAACTGGCTATTTGCTTGGTGTGTGCATGATATTCAGCTCGCACGGCTAAACTTCTACTCTTTATATCAATGCCTAGGATTTCTAGGTCACCGGACTTCTTACCATCAAGTTAGTAAAAAAGGCCTGGATCTATTGGCAAGAGACTTTGCGCTTTTTTCTCGAAAAGAGAAGTTTAACATCGCCTCCCCGTCGTCTTCTTGGCTGCTCTTGCCGGCCGCCATCGTTGAACCGGGCCTTATCCGGAAGTTCTTGGCTTGCACGCTGAGAACATTGACCTGCTTGCTCGATGGGATCATTTCCTAGAGTACGTGCTCCCCGTTACTGCCGCAGGGCACGTATGTCGCTCTCCTGTCGGTACCAAACCACGACCAGCCGGGGGCGAGATGGCCCGGAATCCCGATCGACCACGCCACAACAGTATCCAGAGCCCCAGATCGAGCACGCCACGACGGCATGCATGATGGGCAGAAGTCTCGAGTGTCACTCCATTATGCATACTAGATCCTACATTTTCTGAGATCTTGGAGTCTGAGCTGAGCTTTGCTAGCACAGGGGCCTCACTGACAGTCAAACAAGCCTCGTCTCATCCGGTGAAAATCTGGCTCCGGCCACCAATTATCGTCGCGCATCGGACGGGTCCCCTGCCGTCAGCAAGCGCTAGATCATCGATGGATGGATCCATGTCGCTTTCGCCTAAAATTTCTCCTCGCCAAATCAAATCACCGTCGATCACATGGCAGCCCTGATGCTCCTCGCCCTCTATAAAAAACCTGCCGTATCGCGGTCTCCTTCCACACGCGCACAATACACGCTACACGGGACACTCTCGCACTCGACGGCAGAGTGACACTTGCCGCCTCTGCCGCGACACCACGGGCCATGAAGCTGGAGGTGTCGCCGAGGCAGAGGACCCAAGAAGCAGAGCAGAACGAGGGCGTCGCCGTGGAGCCATGGAAGCACCCGAAGCAGCTCTGCGCTAGCCTGGGCTACGGGGAGGAGGAGGCGTCACGGCTGGTGCCGCCGCTCAACTTCGGCATGGTCGACGACGGCGTCTTCCGGTCGGGGTTCCCCGACGCGGCCAACTTCCGGTTCCTCGCGTCCCTCAACCTGCGCTCCGTCGTGTGAGCTCCCTGCTCTGTGCCACGCCCACATCTCCGGCCACCATGCACCCAGACTTGTCTCTTCTTGACGCCCCGTGTTGCTTGCTTGCTTGCTTGCTTGTGCAGGTACCTGTGCCCGGAGCCGTACCCGGAGCAGAACGCGCGGTTCCTGGGGCGCAGCGGGATCAAGCTCCACCACTTCGGAATCCAGGGCCGCAAGGTACGTCGATGAACAATTCAGCCTTTGATTCGTGCATTCCCGAGGACGGCGAAACCATCTTTGCATCGACCTGCATTTTTGCTTGTTGGGTGCGCTCTGCATATGATCTTTGGTTCAGAGTAGCTGTGGGCTGTCGCGTGGATGAATAACTTGCTTTCGGCAGCACTTGCCTTTTCTAGTATTACCCCTTTGCTTGGGCAACTGTCTTACTGGCTCTTTGCAAAGTCATTTACCCGTCTCTTTCATGAGGAACAGTATATACATATCTGAAACCTGCGCGCATGGTGCAGGAACCGTTTGTCGACATCCCCGAAGAAACGATCCGCGAGGCGCTCAAAGTCATCCTTGGTACTACTATTTCACACATTCACTTACAAACATCTTCACCGATCCAAGGCCGCAAAATCACACATGACCACTCGAAATTTCTCCTTCTCTAACTAACATTTCTCCCTGTTTCCATGGATTCAGACGTGAGAAACCACCCGGTGCTCATCCACTGCAAGAGAGGCAAGGTATATTCTGCACCCTATACACCTCATACAGCACTTTCTAATGAAAATCATAACCATGTGCTTCTCTCAGCACCGTACCGGCTGCGTGGTGGGCTGCCTGAGGAAGCTGCACAAGTGGCGCCTGTCCTCCGTCTTCGACGAGTACCTGCACTTCGCGGCGGCCAAGGCGAGGAAAACCGACCAGCGGTTCATGGAGCTCTTCGACACGTCAAGCCTGGTGCATCTGCTCGCCTCGCAGTGTTGATGAAAGCGAGCGAGCGTTTTTCCTTTCTCTTTTAGCCTGTCCCGATCCTGCCACCATGCGGCTGCGACGACCTGTGTTTCTCCCGCGGTGATTCACAGAGAATAATGTTACTAGAACAATCATGGGCCATATCTATGAGAGATAGAAGACCAATGAAACATGTACTCCTTGAATGATCAAAAATATAAATTTCAAGGTGTGTGACACATTATCGTTATTCTCGCAAAAAAAAAATGGTAGAACAACGTTGAATGATCGATCTGTCAGGATTTCGGAGATGTTATTTCGAAAATGCTGGGCTGGACTGAATGTTTACTGGTGCTTTTTGACAACTAACTACTTCTCCAGCTTGTGAGTGAATCTAGCTTTTTTTTTCTTTTTTTCCCTAAAAAATAGTGAATCAAGTTCTTTTTTCTAGCTGTGAGTGAGTCTAGCCAGAAAGATTTTTTTTTTTGAGACAAGTCTAGCCAGAAAGATGAACGATGGACCGTGTAAGGCCATGAGGCCCAAGTGGACATGGGCCTGGTAGGCCCGAATGCCTCGCAGGAGAGGAAGGGTTATCGTAGGGAGTACGCTGATGCTTTTCTTCCCCTAATAAACCCCCAAATTGCGAGAGCAAACCACCGAGTCCGCCGCCGCCGCCGCCCACCTTTCCTCTTCTCCCAAACCCTAGCTAGTCTCCGGCGATGGCCCCCAAGCGCGCCGCGAAGAAGCCGGCGCCCCCGCCACCGCCTCCGGCTGCCTCCTCCGAGGAGGAGGACTCCCGCTCGCGCTCCGAGGAGGAGGAGGACGAAGACGCCGAGTCCCCTCCCCCCGCCCCCACCCCGGCCCCCAAGAGCACGCCGGCGCCCCCGCAGGAGGGAGAGGAGGAGGAGGAGGAGGAGTCTGAAGAGGAAGACGAGGAGGAGGAGTCTGATGAGGAGCCCGCCCGCGCGTCCCCGGCCCCCGCCGCCACCCCCAAGAACAAGCCTCCGCCGCCGCAACAGGGAGGTGACTCCGACTCTTCCGACGAGGAGGAGGAAGAGGAGCCCACCAAGACGGCCCCTCGCTCCGCTCCCAAGAAGCAGCCCCCACCGCCCCCGCCGCGGCAGGGCGAGGAATCGGACGCCTCCGACGAGGAAGAAGAGGAGGGTGAGTCCGAGGAGGAGGCGCCGCCGCCGCCGAAGCTTGCTCCAAAGCAGGCGCCAGAGGGCCGGAAGCCCCAGGCAGCGGCCGAGACCAAGAAGCCTGCCGCTTTCAGCCGCATCTGGTCCACCGACGACGAGGTGCGTATCCTCGAGGCCCTCGCGGATCACCAAAAGCAGCACGGCACGCTGCCGCAGCCCGACGCCCTCGTCGACGCCCTTGCAGGGAAGCTCGACAACCGGGCCTACGGCAGCAAGGAGCTCCAGGGGAAGGTCCTGGCCCTCAGGCGTCGGTACCTCGCGCTCAGCAAGAAGGGCGAGCTCCCGAGCAAGGAGCATGACCGCCGGGTGCTGGAACTTTCCAAGATGGTCTGGGAAGGCGGCGACATGGTCACCGCCGCAGCTGCCTCTGCCAAGTCTGCGAAGGCGGCAAATGGCCAGGAGCCAAAGGGGTTCGAGGAGATGTGCGATCTGTATCCGTACCTAGCGGAGCATGTGAAGGAGCTGGATGCGGCGAACCCGGGCATTTTCAAGAGGCAGTTCGGGATGATGGACGAGGATAAGGCGCGCGCCATGGACGAGAAGATCAAGAGGCAGCGGGTGGCGCAGATGAAGGTGGAGCTGCGCCGCCATGACCTGGTAAGGGAGGTGACCAAGGCCATCATCGACTTGGTCGACTGATGGGAGCGTCATGAGCTTACCTGAAACTGTACCGGTGATCACAATGTGGCGATTTGGTGGAGCAAGAAGGTTTCTGAAATTATGAGCTATAATCTGCAAATTTTGGTGTCTCGGATGGTCTAAACATGAGACCTATGCTGGAACTGCAAATTGTGCCTGGTCTTTGTAAGAATGCTTTTTTTCGTGTGACCAGAGCATGCTAGAATTATAGCAAATTAGGGGTGTCTTTATGGTGTGAGCATGAGCATGATGAGACATGTGCTGGAACTGCAAATTGTGCTGGTGGATTAAGAATGTTTTCCTGTGTGGCTAGAGAAGTACTGTACGCTAGAACTGGCAAATTGTGCTGCTGTTGCGCGAATCTTTCTTGCCACAGGTTCCATCGATTGTGTGAGGTTTTATGTATGAAACGGTCGCTGAATTTGTACTTGGTTCAGTAAAGCTTTTCTGTTGTTAGTTTTGGCAGCTCGTTTATGCAGAGGCTGGTCTTGCTGTTTTGGCTGTTTCAGGGTTTGGGTGCAGACTGGAGTCGTGAGTCTGAATTAGATGAATTTTACCAGGGCATGGCGCTGGGTTATACTCCTCTACTTTTCTGCTGTTTAATTTAACCAGCCTTTTATACTTGCGTGACTGTTTCGGGCTTTCGCTGCAGGATTAGATGAATGTTACCAGGGCATGGCGCTGGGTTATACTCCCTCTGTTTCAAAATAGATGACTCAACTTTGTACTAATTTTAATACAAAGTTAGTACAAAGTTGAGACATCTATTTGAAACGGAGGGAGTACTACTTCTCTATTGTTGGGTTATACTCCTTTGTACACAAATATAGGATGTTTTTGTAGTTTCATTTAACGTCCTATATTTGTTTAGAGGGAGTGCTACTTCTCTGCTGTTCAATTTAGAAGTAAGTACGCTGGTGCTTGAACTTGTCGTGGATGTTCATTTTAGTGCTTACAGTTGCAAATGGTTTCAAAACTTCACATGCGCGTAAGCGTAAAATGTGCTGACATACACTGTATGAAGTTTGATATATACAATGCATGGTTTTTTTAGGGGAACATACAATGCATAGAAAGTTTTAATCTCTATTTCTAATGAAGCAGTTGGTAGTCTTGCTTTCAGATTTTTTTTCGTCCCACCTTTTATGGGTTTTTTTGTATCTCCTCCCACCTTCGCTGGTTTTTTCCGTCCCCTCCCCCCACTTTATCAGTTTATTTTCGCGTCACCCTCTCACACAACGAAAGAAATCTAAACAGATCATAACTTCTCATACTGGCGCAAGTTATTTAGTAATGTAGAATCAATCATGAACAATCTCTAAAGATCAAATCTAAATTAATTAACCTTATCTTAAATCACTCAATCACATTAATTAGAAAACAAATATTTGATTTTTCAGAAAAATCGCTCAATCACATTAACCGTACCTTAACTCACGGATGGTAGTCAATCTCTAAACAAAGGAAACAATACATCGAGGGAGCAGTAAATAAACTCTCTTTCTTATGACATCTATATGATCTTCCATTCCCTCTTCGTTGTCGAGCGTTCTTAATTCTTGAGGCCGATGCTTGGGCTGCGTCACTGGTCGCAACGATGCCGGAGGACGAGGACGGCGAGGCCGGATGCCGCGGCCAGTGAAGGGGGCGAAGAAGGGCGGCTTCCCTGGGCGTGGCCCTGGGAGTTGGTGCGGTGGAAGCGGCACTTGAAGGACCCGTCGTGGGTGGCCAGCACGCAGATGCACATGGAAGCAGACCCGTGGCCTGCGCCGAACGGTGCCGACGCCAACCCGGGCCACCTCCTCCGCGTATTCTTGAAGCTGTGGCTGACCGATTTACATGAAATTAATTCCGTCAGTTGTGGTGGCAAATATAATACACATAATCCATATTGTTTTGCACTAGCATGTGTGTGTTAAATAGATGGATTATGGCCCCGTACCCAATAAGATGGATATGTGTGTGTGTTAGAGAGAGAAAGGGAGAGGGGGAGAGAGAGTGAGGAAGAGGGAGGGAGAGAGTGTGTGTGAGGATTTGATGGTAAAAAAGATCGCCAAGGTCACTTGATATGTATGAGAATATTAATATTAAATTCTTAAAATTAATGTGGCCCCGTTGCAACGCACGGGCGTTCTTCTAGTGTATTGTAAACGAAGACTCTCCTGTGATTTAGTAAATGGGCTGCAGTTAGTGCGTCCATTTAGCACATGGTGTTTCTTTTTTGGGTTTTTAAGAAATTTGTATAAATATGTAAATTATAACCACAATAACAAAAGTAAAGTTTAATGTTTGTGTGTTACAACTATTGTACATACAATTAAAGTAACATAGTACTTTAAAAAATAGTCATGTAATTTTAAAAGTATTCAAGTATTAATTTTAAAACATTCAAATAATTCAAATAGTATTTGTGAATTATAATTTTTTATACAATTTAAAATAGTAGAAACATTTCTAAAATTGTAATTCACCGTTTTTATTTTAATTATACAAAGCAAACATTTGATTAATTATATGCAATTTTTTACAATTCATAAGTATTTTTAAGTAAATATTTATATAACGGAAATATTGATATGTTAAGATTTTTTTTGTGATTATTCTAAAATATATAAACTGTATGAGTATAGGAGTGAAAATTATACACAATTGAATATTCATAAATATTTAGTAAAGGTTTTGTGTTCATAGTTTTGTACTCTCTTTGTCCCAAAATAAATGACTCAAACTTGTACCAACTTTATATGGAGGGGGTATAATTTAAATATATGTCACGAGGGTATAAAAATGTTTGTATTCAAATTTTTATTTGTATTTACTAAACATTTTTAATATAGTACATGAGTGTATATTTTAAGTGTTTGTATTTACTAAAGGTTTTTATACACTAGTGGCATATATTTAAAATAGTATTTTAAAACATAATAAGTGCTTATTTGTATGTTATTATTTATAAGACGTGAATATTCAAACGTAATTTTGTTACTATGATTATAACTAACATTTTTTTCAAATTTTAGAAAAGAAAAATAACATCCAAACGTGAATGGTGGAGTTGCTAGCAGCCACCATTTTCCATGCGATTTTTCCCTTTGTACTGATGATAGCTCGGACTCACTGGTCCTAGAGACGTTGGGCCATCCCGTTCCGCCGCTGCAAGTAGGCTCCATGCCACGCTACGCACCAACTAAAGTACGGTGCCACGTCAGCGCATTTTACGTCCATGGACAGGATTAGCATCGTATTCTCACACGTGTGCCAGGTTTTAAAACTAATTTTCTTTATTTCACTACTATATACACTAATATGAACATCCGACAAGTTACAAACCCGCCTCAAACACCCTGGTTTGGTCACTCAGCGGTCACGAGAATGCGATCTAGACGGGCGCCTCAAACGGATCTCAAACGTCTGAGCTGATCGGCACCCTTTATATCCAGTTCAAATATGGGACGGGTATGGGGTGCTCGGGCGTGTCCGCCACATCGTATCCGACCCACACTGGCTCACCCGACTCTACATATATTCCTTCCCATCCGTTTGCCGGACCAAACCCTAACCACTTCACTCCATTCCCCTTCGGCACCCAAGCTCCCATCGGGCATTCTCCGACATGGCGGGCAACGGATCCAAGTCCTTCACCACCAGACTCGTCGATCCCCGAACTCATCCCACGCGTCCCTGAGGAGGAGATGGCCGCCCTGTTTGCGCTCCACCGCTCCTGGGAGGAACCCTTGCGAGGCAGTGCTCGGACTCCTTCCGTCGACAATTCATTGTGTCCCTCCAAATGGCGCATGGATCCTGTAGGATCTAGAAGTAGATGTGTCTAGAGGGGGGGTGATTAGACACTTAGTGCTAAAGTTGCAATTTTTAGGCCTTTTTGGTTTGAGTGGAGTTTTGGGCATAATTTCAACATACACAATACATATCAAGCAAGCATGCAAAGAGTATATGAGCAGCGGAATGTAAAGCATGCAACTTGCAAGAATGTAAGGGGAAGAGTTTGGAGAATTCAAACGCAATTGGAGACACGGATGTTTTTCCCGTGGTTCGAATAGGTGGTGCTATCCTACATCCACGTTGATGGAGACTTCAACCCACGAAGGGTAACGGTTGTGCGAGTCCACGGAGGGCTCCACCCACGAAGGGTAATGGTTGCGCGAGTCCACGGAGGGCTCCACCCATGAAGGGTCCACGAAGAAGCAACCACCCACGAAGGGTCCACGAAGAAGCAACCTTGTCTATCCCACCATGGCCATCACCCACGAAGGACTTGCCTCACTAGCGGTAGATCTTCACGAAGTAGGCGATCTCCTTGCCCTTACAAACTCCTTGGTTCAACTCCACAATCTTGTCAGAGGCTCCCAAGTAACACCTAGCCAATCTAGGAGACACCACTCTCCAAGAAGTAACAAATGGTGTGTAGGTAATGAACTCCTTGCTCTTGTGCTTCAAATGATAGTCTCCTCAACACTCAACTCTCTCTCATAGGATTTGGATCTGGTGGAAAGAAGGTTTGAGTGGAAAGCAACTTGGGGAAAGCTAGAGATCAAGATTCATATGGTAGGAATGGAATATCTTGGCCTCAACACATGAATAGGTAGTTCTCTCTCAGAAATAGGATGCTGGAAGTGTAGGCTTAGTCTGATGGCTCTCTCTCTAAATGAAGAGGAGGTGGAGGGGTATATATAGCCTCCACATAAAATCCAACCGTTACACACGATTTACCAATCTCGATGGGACCGAATCAACAAACTCGGTCAGACCGAAATAGGAAACCTGGTGACCGTTAGAGATTTTCGGTGGGACCGACTGGATCAACTCGGTGGGACCGATGTGCTAGGGTTAGGGTAAATCCAAAACTCGGTTTGACCGATTACTCAAATTCGGTGGGACCGATTTGGGTAATAAGTGAAACAGAGAGTTGGCCAAGCAAACTCGGTGGGGCCGATTGCATATCTCGGTGGGACCGAAAATATTGCAATAGGTAACAGAGAGTT